TGGAGAAAATTGATCTCCTTGGTCAAGAAGTTCATCCACAAATTCATAGTCAGTTCCATCATTCATCAAGTTGGTGTAATACGCATTTTGTTGATGATCCATCTATAGACAATAAGGTAAACATTATGGTAGTGTTTACAAAATTTAGAAAATATCAAACATGCATGTGATTTTGGCATATAAAACATATCAGATTCGATTGCAATTCATTACAAATTTCATTAAAGACAACCAAATTAAAATGTGGCAAATTAATATGATTATTGGGAACATTACTGACAATAATAGCAAGACTGGAGAAATCAAAATCAATAGGGTAAATTACACTGACACCCCTTGAGGTTTATGTTTATTACAGTTCATCCCTCACCTTTTGGAAATTACATCTCCCCCCTAAGATTTAAAGTTTCATTACAAATTCTCCCTCAGCAATTTAATTTTTTTAAATACCAATTTTGCCCTCACTGGGTAAATTATATTGACACCCCTCACATTTTAGAAATTACAATCCCCTCCCTAAGGTTTAAAGTAGTATTACCAATTGCCCGCTCGGTTAGTATTAGTTGGAAAAAAAAATTCATTGAAAAAAAAAATTAATTAGAAAAAAAATTAAATTGAAAAAAAATTTTGTTAGTAAAATTTTTAAATTTCTGTTTAAAAACCAACATAAATTCATTTTTTGAATTTACGTTTTTCCTCAAATTTACAAACTGAGACAACCATTTATAAACCAAAAAAATTATCAAACAGGTTTTTATGACAGTTTTTAAAATTTTTGTAAATATAAATTGAAAACTGAAAACGAAATGGTTACCAAATAAGCTTCAGATGGTAAAAATGTCGTAAAATTAAAAATAATTAAATAAGTTATCAAGGTAAGAAATGACTTATCAAAAGATTCTAAAGCTATATATAGTTTGATTTTTAGAAAAAAAAAATTAATTAAAAATTAATCTGGTTAAGAAAAAAATAAAAAATAATTATCATTTTTATATAATTTTTATCTTTTGAGTGGTTAGAAATAATTTTTTACAAATTAAATTGAAACAGCCTTACGTATGTATATAATCTGCCCAAAAGTTAAAATGATAATTATTTTTTACCCTTAAATGATAGTTATTTTTTATTTTTTATTTCTTAACCAAATTAATTTTTAATTTTAAAAAAAAAATTCTAAAAATCAAACTATACATAGCCTAAAAATCTTTTGATAAGTCATTTCTTACGTTAGTAACTTATTTAATTATTTGTTAATTTTAGGACATTTTTATCATCTGAGGCCTATTTGGTTATCATTTCGTTTTCAGTTTTCAATTTATATTTACAAAATTTTTTAAAAATGTCATAAAAACTTACTTGATAATTGTTTCGGTTTATAAATAGTTGTCTTAGTTTGCAAATTTGAGAAAAAAACGTAAATTCAAAAAATGAGTTTACGTTGGTTTTTAAAACAAAAATTAAAAAAAATTATAAACAAAAAAAATTTTCAATTAATTTTTTTTTCAAATAATTTTTTTTCCCAATGAATTTTTTTTTCAATGAATTTTTTTTCCAACTAATACTAACCGAGGGGACAATTGATAATGCTACTTTAAACCGTAGGGAGGGGATTGTAATTTCTAAAATGTGAGGGTGTCGAGGTAATTTACCCAATGAGGGCAAAATTGGTATTTAAAAAAATTAAATTACTGAGGGGGGAATCTATAATGAAACTTTAAACCTCAGGGGAGATGTAATTCCCAAGAGGTGAGAGGAGGAATTGTAATAAACATAAATTTCAGAGGGTGTCAGTGTAATTTACCCAAATTAATAAGTAGACCAAGCTTGAGTTGCAGCTATGAAGCAGTCGTAAGGAAACCAAAATTGTCATTTTTTTGGTCTCATTCAGTTGTCACTGTGCTCGTGAACTCCATTTCCACTATAGAGACTCATCTTGTGAAATATTGGAATTGATTATTTTTTAGTTATTTCACTAATTAACATAATTCACAGGGTCCTTACTCCTTGCAAGGGTTGATCATTTCTTTATCTAGTATACTATTATTTGATTTAGTCTAATTGGTTGGGAGATTTCTCTTTAATTCCCTTTCACCTGATTCAGAAGACTTTATTGAGTTTGAGGAACATAGAAAAATTAGAATATAATAGTAGGCATCCAAGAGACAACCCAATTAGCAAACCATAATAGAAAGATATAGTTCAGAACTATTTTGGCACATTTTTAAATAACAACTTCTTTCTCAAATTTTTTTTTTTTTTTTTTTTGAGATCGGCAAAGAAAATGATTTTATTAATAAAAGAGAATAAAAGAGAAGGGTACAAGAAAAGAACTTTGGGAAAAAAATGCATCATCACATAATCAATGGATTCCAACTAGGTTGGCACCCAAGAGAAAGGTTAATCATGTGCAGCCCAAAGCGACAACCAGCAAAACAACAACAAAGAAATAAAACCAAAGAAAACCAACAACAGAACAAACAAAACCCTAGGGCTGAAGAGATTTCTGAAAGATAAATTGATAGAGAGAGAGTAAATTGTATGTATTATGATTGATGTTATATATTACAAATGGTGAGGGGCTCCTTATATAGGAGAAGTTTACAGACAAAAGGATGCATTGCACTATCTGCACTATCTTAAAGCAACCGAAAGCAGCATTATCATTACCTAACATTATTAAGGCATTAAAGCTAAAGCTAACATCATTACAAGCACAGGCACTAATATATACTAATAGTAGAATATACTAACAGCCCCCCTCAAACTCAAGGAGGATAAGCACAAATCAACTTGAGTTTGGAGAGAGTAACAAAACAAAAAAATAAATTGAAAAATAAAATAGGATAGGAGACACTGTATGGTCGTATCAGAACCGTTGGTGAAGACACTGTATGGTTGTGTCAGACCGTTGTAGGAGCTAACCGGAATCAATGTCGGGACAGTTTACGGGGTCATGCCGGACCGTTGTAGAAGCTAACCGGAATCAATGTCGGGACAGTTTATGGGGTCATGCCGGACCGTTGTAGAAGCTGACCGGAATCAATGTAAGGACAGTTTACAAGGTCATGCCGGACCGATATAGCAGACACTGTGTGGTCGTGTCAGACCATGGGAGCCCAAAAGATATATATATCGCACCCTCAAAAGTCGTGCCCAGTCTATCAAAAGGCGTGCCATCAAAAAGCGTGCCCAACAGAAATCTTCGAGCAGCGAGCCATCAAAAGGGGCGCCGGACACGCGGCGATGCACGTGACCGACAGAGTGTCGTGTCGTCCTCTTCGTCATTGTCTATATAAACCAAAGCGAAGCCTGAGGCTTGGAAGCATAACAAACCAGTTGAAACCTCTTCGTTCTCTGAGAGCTTTTCTCTAAGAGCTGCGAACCCTGAAACACTCTGTAACATCTGAAACACTCAGCAACCCATAACATGGCCTCTTCTTCCCGTGGTCTGCTCACTCTCTTTCCAGACCTCAACGAGTCCACAAGAGAGATAACCGGTGCGGTTGCCCTTGAACCTCAACCAAGCGCCTCAGGTTTTGCTCCGTTGAACTTTTCTATGCGGTCTGTGGAGCAAATAATGACAGTGCAATCGGATGTTGAAGCCAATCAGTATACATTGAAGTCATGTGTGGAGACCATGACTGCGGTCACAAACTTGTCGCACCGGCTTCAGAGTAGAACAAATGAGGTGTAGCAGTTAAATGCCCAACTGGCTCTGCTCCAGCGCATGTATAAGGATGCGCGAGCAGAGATATGTGTGCTAAAGGCGGAAAATAAGGAGCTGAAGCGGAAGGCCACCGTTACGTTCCGATTCGGAGGTCCGCCATATATTGCGGTGGAAGAGCAAGGGGGAGTGAACGGGCTCGGCGACGTGGAAACGGAGGCATGCTGTAAGGGACGCCAAAGACCGAGGTAAGAGGAAGAGAGTAGTGGAAGAGGGCAAAAAAGTAAGGCCGGTGTTTGGGATGGGATTTTTTTTTTTTTTTTGCGGTTGTGGTGTAAAATTGTGAATCGAAATAGGTTGATCCCGGCATGAAGAAATGACAAGTTTGTGGAATGAAAAACGAGTTGGTTGTGAATGGATTTTTTTATTTATTTATTTTTTATTTATTTTTTGGAATAAAATCAGCCATCATTCAGTAATGCAGTTGCTAAAGAGAAATATTAAAAGAGAGTGGTGGAAAGAAAAATTTAAAAGAAATGATGGGAAAGAAAAATAAATGTGGATATTTAAAAGAGTGTAAAAGTAGTTTGGAGAAAACAAATAAAAATAATTGATTTTGAAATCAAACGTGATAGGAGAAGAGAGAGGAGACAAGCCCATGTGATAAAGTGGAGAGAGAGCTGGGTATGCATATGAGCATGTTTTGTGCTGGTGGAGATTGGTTTAAAAATAAAAAAGGGGTATGGGTGTGCAAAAGGTGGTGGGTGATGGGTTGGAAAGTAGACATAGTGGTTGGTGTCCTTGAGTAGAGAGAGAGAGCTCGGTTGTAGTGGTCTGTTGCTTTATCATCGAGTTTGCAGAGGAGAACAAAATTAAGCCACGTGAATCAGCGAGATATCGCTGATGTCGGAGAATCGTCGAACTCTGATGTATCGACGTAAGACTCCTGCAATGATGATTTCAACGGCGGAGGATAGTCTGATGTTCGAATTAAACGGTAGAGGTTGATTCGAACGAGAAGATCGATTCAATCTTCGGCTAGTGTTCGGCAAAGAGCTCTACGGAGAGGTCGAGCTGGCACAAATTTGGTGGTACGATTGCAGATAGATCGACAACCACCATGGTGAGAGATCTGAATATCATGGAGGCAATAGAGTCGCGACGGCGTCGATACAAGCATGAGCGACGAAGATGGCACAAATTTGGTGGTACGATTGCAGATAGATCGACAACCACCATGGTGAGAGATCTGAATATCATGGAGGCAATAGAGTCGCGACGGCGTCGATACAAGCATGAGAGACGAAGATGACAGAAAAGGGGATGAGAGAGAGAAATGAAGGTTGGAGATGGAGGGTTTGGTCTCTGGTCTATCACGGTTGGGTCACAGCGTGACAGTGTCTGTAGAAATAGCAGCAACAGTGACTCATCCTCCATAACTGAGAAAGTCAGTCCAATTGGTGAAACTTTGGAACGACTTGCATTCAACTTATTCCAATCCGAGGAAAATCAAGGAGAGTATCTAAGAGAAAAGTCAAGCAAGAACTTCGAGGCAGCATTCAAGGCATTCTACCAAATCTTCCCATATGGGAGGTTTGCTCACTTCACAGCGAACTTGGCTATCCTGGAGGCTATCCCAGACGACGCAGAGACAGTACATATTGTAGACTTCAATATGAGGGAAGGGATTCAATGGCCTCCAATGATCGAGGCTGTTGCTCGTCTACAAAAGGCATTGAAGTTGACATCAATCAAAACAAGGGATGACTCTGGTGATGCTCCAGTACACTGGAGTTTTGAGAAAACAAAGAGGCAACTCTGTGATCGTGCAAGGTCTTCTGGCCTAAACTTGAAGGTGGAAGAGGTGGGAATTGATGATTTGACAAGTGAGATAAAGAAGATGACAGTGTTTAGTAGTGGTTCTAATGATAGAACCAGCATTGTGTCCTCCATCAACTAGAGAGAGAGAGAGAAAGATTGACAATGGCCCTCTCTCTATCACCCGTGGCAGTGCAGGTGGATCGGTGCAGAGGTGGTGGCTGAGAAGATGAAGCAGAGCCGTGGTCAGTGAGAAGGGAAATAGAGCTGTCTGCAGAGAGAGAAATTAGAAAATTTGGATTTGTCCGGCGGACGGCCAAGGCGAGGCTGCCGCCCGCCGGTGAAGTGGAATTACCAAGTTCTTAACCTGGCTCTGATACCATGAAAGATAAATTGATAGAGAGAGAATAAATTGTGTGTATTATGATTGATGTTATATATTACAAATGGTGAGGGGCTCCTTATATAGGAGAAATTTACAGACAAAAGGATGCATTGCACTATCTGCACTATCTTAAAGCAACCGAAAGCAGCATTATTATTACCTAACATTATTAAGGCATTAAAGCTAAAGCTAACATCATTACAAGCACAGACACTAATATATACTAATAGTAGAATATACTAACAATTTCAATACTAGAAAAGAATACACTTGGGAACCATTTTGTTTTATTGTTTCAAGTTTTAGTTCATTTTTTTGTGAACACTCCAGTTTGATTCCTATACTACCACACACAATAGTCCAAAACTAAAAACTTTGTGTATTGGAACCAAAGAAAGAAAATAAATTGTGTAATAAATAATTCTTTACAGAATACTCTTTCCTTGTGCAACACAGAACAACTATTACACAAGGCACCTTGCAAAACCTTGCATGGTGTTTGCAAGAGTGTTGCTTCTACTTCTAGTGTGCTGCCATCTGCTTTTATGAAGGCTTTTAATGCAACATACATCTCATCTGTATTCCTGAAGCATTTAATTGAAAATGCCAAAAGCAACACTTTTGAGGAAAATCTTATGGGGTGGGACATGGTGACTCCTTTTCTCAATCATTAGTTGATAATTTAATACAGTACAAACCAAATAATTGAGTAAAAATTTATAAAGAATAGAATAATTAAAATTTTATAGAGAACAAAGCAAAAAGTGTTCATAAAGGATGAACCAATAATAGATAGAATAATGAATGTGTGAATCCAAATGATTTAGAGGTTCGAAGCCGAAATAATGAATGTGTGAAGCCTATATAACCAGTTAAAGGAGAGAACCTAACTTATCTTGAATATTTTCTAGAATTGACATAGATATTTCACTGAGAAATTAAATAAAGACACAACCCAAGAAACCGATCTTATTATATTCATTTTTTACCCAAATTACAATTTCTATTCATTCGCCATTAATTCCAGCAACAAAACGAATCAAATCAACCATGAAATTCAAACTGAAACTTTAATGAACAAGACAAAAATCATACATCTACTAAATTGAATAGATTTTGGGTCTTTGAAAAACATAGTGAATCATTGTCATACATTTTTTACCAAAAGTTGTTGCTGTAAAAATCAATCAGATACAACCAGTGTTTCAGAATAGAACCCTACACACACATACACACACACACACATATATATTCTTGATTTCATTAATTAATCCAACAGAAAGGGGGTCATATGGAGGGAAATAGAGGGTTTTGCAGAGGGGTTTGGAAAAAGGGTTTCACATATAAGAGATATCAAAAGATAGGGTTGGGTGGTACAAAGTAAGGGAGTTGCAGAGAGGGGGAAATGAAGGTTCAACATAGGATTTTGTAGGTAGAGGGGCTGAAGAGGGAGCGATGGAACAGAAAGATTTTGCCGATCATGAAGGGGGAGAAGAGATAGATTAAGAAGTTGGCCCAAAATGAGTTATAGTTGGCTAAAATGCCTAACAAACCTCTTTTAACCAGCCGTTTGGAGTTGCTCTTAGCAAAGGACTAATTAGCCAAGAATGGGCACATCCCCCAGCAAGAGATGCCCTCTGCATGCAAATCCCTTGTCTTAGAAGGTTAATATTATAAATCGGTTACCTATAGAATTAATTGAAATATAAGAAAAATATATATAATTTATTGAAACATAAATAATAAAAGTAAAATTTACGAAAAAAATGCCCCCCGTATCAATGATTATGAATCATAATAATAACAATAATAACAACTTGACACCCTCAAAATCTCACCACTAAATTTCTTTTAGTGAGTGTTACATGTTAGTTTAATTCATATAAGAATTAAACTTTTATAACACAATTTCTGTCACGCCAATATGAATATGTTTTGTGTTTAAAAAAAAATATGAATAAGTTTGAAAATGATATTTTAGAGACTTTAGCAAATTATACAAATATGTCACCTAAGTTGATAAATTAAATGTAATATAAAAATATGATAAATATAAATTATTATAAATTTATATAATAGTATTACTTACTAAATTATTCAAATTTTCAAAGTCGTTTAGGTTTGCGAGTTGGCAAGGAGTCTAAAATATTTGGAGCGCTAGCACTCCGTTTGGATAGAAGGGTTTGGTGAGAAAAGAAAATAAATTGTGAGAATAAAAAATCCCTTCACTTGTTTGAATGGTTAAATAAGTAAAAAATTGTGAGAAATTATCAGCGATAGTGAGAAAAAGATTCTCACTAAATCTATCTTATTTCTCACAAAGAAAATGGTGAGATTTGGTGAGAAAATAATTGGATTTAATTAAAGATTTCAAAAATACCAAAATTACCCTTATAAAGAAGCATAACTTAATAATATGGAAGATTATTTTGATAAAATAAAATACAATATTTTTCTTTATTTTCTCTTATTTACTCTATTCAAACAAAGTAAGTAAAAAATCACATTTTTTTTCTTTTATTCAATCAAATATAATAATAATAAATCATAATTAATTTTTTAATTTTTTCACCTAAGTGAGAATCATAATCATTCTTTTCTCACCTTCTCAACAGGGTCGATTGAATTCCAATTTCCAAACGCCCAAACACCATCCAACACGTCAAGGATTAGGTAAAAGACAGCAGTCCATTTAGGCCAAAAATATCAATAATTTTTTTTTTTTTATCAATAAAATATCAATCATTTTTTTCTTGACTATTGAGTTAAATTATTAAATTTTTGTCTTATCGGTGTCATTAAATAATTTAATTTAAAATCTAAACTGTAACGCATTTCAATAATATATGATAGGTATTACACTTGTAAACAATTGTTTATTATAATTATAAAGGTATGTTACAAATACATATCATTTGCTTAAAACACATATTATTCCTTGTGGTATTGAAAATTAAAAATATTTCATAGGTAGATTTTTTTATTTATCAAAATTAACCAAAATAAAATAAAATTTTTGATAATTTTTCTATATAACAATAAAATTACCTAAATTATAATTAAAATATATTTCTGATATCATTAAAAATTGTTAATTAACTTGATAATTTATTATAAAAATAGTCATTTGTTATATAATTAAAAACTTGAAGAGGCAAAATATAATTTTAAATTTTTTTTTAAAAATTATATTTTAAACAAATTTTATTAAAAGTATTTTTAATTTACCCTAATTATAATTATTTCCCAAGGGCGTTGCTCTCCTCAAACCAACTCCTCATTACTCATCGGGTTCGTTTGTTTTCAGAGGTAGGTTGTGTGAGATTATTAGTAAGGGGATTGTTAGTGAGGGGATTAAGAAAAATTATATTTATTTGATAACCAGTGGACTACCAATAGTTCTTATTTATTTTGAGAGATAGGATTAGGATTAATCATATAAAATTTCACAAATAGCCTTGTTACATTATTATCAAATTTGGGTTTATACCAACTAATAAATGCATCATATATTTTAATATTAAAAATATATTTTATAAATATTAAAATTATATTTTAATATTAAAAATTATATTTCGTAAATATATATATTTTTGGTACTATTTTATTTTGTTAATATAATTTTATTGGGTATAAATATTATTATACTACTATATTTTATGTTAAATTATTTTGATATATAGAATGGTGGAGTAAAAATGGTAGAATAATTAGAAAAATAATAGAGAAAAGACCATACTAATTAAGTAGAGTAAGTAAATTAGATAGGATAATAGAGAGCAAAAATAGTAAATCCTCCATTAATCCCAATAAATTATTTTTCTAATACCATCTCTCATGTGAGATCATTAATCCTATATATGGAAACCTATTATAAACCCAAAATATTATGAATTTTATTTCTTATTTTGTAAACAAACAAAATATTAATAAATTTTACATCTATCATAATCTAATTCCATCTTTTATAACCCAAAACAAAACAGAGCTACAAAGGTCCACAAAACCGTCTGACTATCATCATCTTTGCTTTACCTTTACATGATAGGGGTTTAATGGGTGGACACGAGTTCATGATAATGTAATGTGCATCCCCCCAATCATGAACACCACACCACACTACACTGTTGTCATATTTAATTGTACCTATCATTTTAATTTCAATTGGTTCATTTCAAAATTTAAATTTTTATTATTGTATGTCACTATTTTACATAAAAATAAACAAAAATAAAAATATTCAACTATGGAGCAAAAATATTCAACTTAAAAACAGTGGTCAAGCTGAGTTAAGATTATAATATTTCATGATTTTGGATAAGAATTATAGAAGATACTATCAAAATGTAGATGCTTAGATTTGAATTTTGAACCTAATAACTTGAAAATACAGTAACTCTACTATGAAGTTGATCTTGTAATTCTTCTCGCCAACTTTCTTGTTAATTAATCTACTTTAAAAAATAAAAAGTACAAACTAGAAAAAAAAAACAAAAAAACACTAAAGTGTACGGGAAAGAAATAAATCTTCTCGTATAATCCTGTTGACCAAGTCCACGCTCCTCCGTACGACGTCGCTTTATCACCTGAAAACACAAACGTGAGTTAGCCGGCGGGTGTGTGCCGGAAACCTCTCCGATGCCTAAGTCAGTAAGCTTGACAAATAGACAAGAAGCTCTGTGTAAAAAGCAAAGTTGTGTGTTGTGTTCTGTTACCTCCTCCAAGGTGATGTTTGTGAACTTTTATAGGTTTCGAGT